CTACAGGTTCGAGCCCCTCCCCCCTCCAGAAAACCGCGGGGGGCCCACTACCGGCTCGAACCCCCCCCACCTCCCCTCCAGAAAACCGGGGGGGGGGGGTCAATACCGCTTCGACCCTCCCCCCTCTCTAGAAAACCAGGGGAAGTCACTATACTGGTTCGAACCCCTCCCCCCCTCTGCAAAAACCGGGGGGGGGGGGGAGTCACTGCCGGTTCGACCCCCCCCCGCCTCTCCGGAAAACCGGGGGGGGGTCACTACTGGTTCGACCCCCCCTCCCTCCAGAAAACTGGGGGGGGGGGGGGGGCCATTACTGGTTCGAACCCCTACCCCCTCCCCCCACGCTCACCGCCAGCAAACGACTCCCGGGTCCCACCGTCCGCACCACATCCCCCACTGCTGACCCCAGCGCCACTGTCCTCACCACCACTGCCCCCACTGCTCCCGCCACCGTCCCCACTGTCCCCACCAGTGCCCCCCCACTGTCCCCACTGTCCCCACCACTGTTCCCACCACGGCTACACTCTCCCTGCTTTTTCCACGGCCCCAACCACTGTCCCACTGTCCCCACTGTCCCACTATCCCACTGTTCCCGCCGCTGTCCCATTGAGCTGTCCCATTGTTCCCACCACTGTCCCCAGTGTCCCCACCACTGTCCCCACTGTACCTCTGTCCCATTGTCCCACAGCCATCCTCGCCACCGCCCTCACCACTGTCCCCACCACCACTGTACCCTCCACTGTCCCACTGCTTCACAACATTCCCACTGTCCCCACACCACTGTCCCCACCACCACCGTCCCCACCACTGTCCCACCGCTCCTACTGTTCCCACCAGTGTCCCCGCTGTCCCCACCAGTGCCCCCACCAGTGTCTCACTGTCCCCATTCTCCCCGCCATTGTCCCACCGCGGTCCCACTCTCCCCACTTTCCCCACGGTCCCCACCACTGCCCCACTGTCCCCACTGTACCCACCACTGTCCCACTGTCCCCGCCGCTGTCTCACTGTGCTGTCCCACCGTCCCCACTGCCCCCGTCACTGTCCCACTGTCCCCACTGTCCCCACAAATTATCCCACTGTACTACTGTCCCACCGCTGTCCTCACCACCGCCTTCACCACTGTCCCCACCACTACCGCCCCCACCGCTGTCCCACTGTCCCCACCACTGTCCCGCTGTCCCCTCGCCACTGTCCCTACCACCACCGCCCCCACCACTGTCCGCACCACTGTCCCACTCTCCCCGCACCACTGGCCCCACCACCACCGTTCCCACCACTGTCCCAGCATCCCCACAATTGTCCAACTGTCCCGAGGAGCGGGAATCGTTTGCCGGCGGCGAGGGGGGGGGGCTTGAAACCGGTAGTGACCCCACTCTGGTTTTCGAGGGCGGGGTTCGAACCTGTAGTGGCCCCCCCCCCTTTCAAGATGGACTGGGAGGGGGGGGGGAGGGAGGGGTTCGAACCATGAGTGACCCCCCCCCCCGGTTTTCGAGGGGGGGGACGGGTTGGGAAACACCAGTGACCCCCCCCTCGGTTTTCCGCAAGCAGCGGTAGAACACGGTCTTTCGTATATCTTCGTCCCTTTCCCCGCCAGCTCGAAAGGGAAAGTTTTTTGAATGGGCTGATGGGGAACTTTTTGGTCAACAGGCTCGCGAGGCGGGTCGAAAGCCGTCCGAACACCAGTCGGGCCGCGACTAGGCAGCAGAAAAAGAAAGGCAAGCAAAGCGAGCGAGCGGGCAACCACTCAGAAGGAGAGCCAGAACCGATACTCTCAAACCCGGTGGTGTTGGAAATGCTGATGGGGATACGCAAAACGCGAAGAACAACAAATAAGGCTGGGAACGATGAGAACACAATTTCCGACTCTTGTTGCCATAGGTTCCACATCATGAAAATAAAGTCGCTGTCGAACGGCACGTAAAAATGCTCAACATGATCGACCCACGAACCCGGAAAGGAATATAGAATGTGAGGCATGACAACATGTTCAAAACAACTGATTAAACGAAAAGCCATTGCGCCATTGCAATGCTGACTGTATCGATATTGGTGTACCGTGCCAAAGGCTGTGCTGTGCTGTGCCGTGCTGAACTGCGATGTGCCATGTCGCGATTAGGCTCTATAGCGTTGTGGACCGAGTCTTCCTTTGCGTCCGAGTCCTGACCGAACTGATCTGGATCTTAAGCTCGAGCTGGTTGAGCACATAGTAGCTGCCCCAGAGCTAATTGACAAGGGGACATGCCAGGAGCACGCGCCGCGGAACGTCCCACGGGGCGCGCCAAGCGACGTGCCAGGGGACGTGCCATCAGGACGCACCGCGGGACGTGCCAAGGGGACGCGCTACGGAACGTGCCAATGGACGTGCCACAGGACGTGCCAGGGGACGCGCCGCGCGACGTGATAGGGAATCCCGCCACGGGACATCCTTATGCTAGACGTCCGCATGGGCAACCTGGACACGTGCAAACAAGCGTACTAATCGAGACTTCCTCAACACATCCTCGTGCTAGATATCCGTTAGGCGACCTAGACGCGTGAAAACAAGCGTCTCGTTCGAGACATCCTCATGCATTCCTCATGATAGACATCTGCCTGGGCAACCTGGACGCATGAAACCAAGCGTCTCGGTCGAGACATCCTCAAGACCCTGGCACGTGAAAACAAACATGTCACTTGAGAGATCCTCTGAAGTCTGGTCCCCAGGAGAGGACAGTCTATAACACAAAACAAACAGTTCGCTCGAGACGTCCTAAACCATTTCTGCAAAACAAGCATTTCGCTCGGGACATCAACAAATTTGAATTCGCCGGCCCACTCCTTCCATGTTGTTTTTCGCAAAAGAAATTCCCCGGCCCACCTCACATCGATTCCAGGGGTCAACCCCGAACAGAAAACCCTGGGCCCACGCCCTTTCCGGGAAAAATATGCATCCACTGATGCAGCTCCGGTTATTACATACGTACCCGAATCAACTCCAGCCGCAATTCTTATCACCACGTGTCCGACTACGGCTCCTGTTGCAGATCTCAGCCAATTCCAAGGACAGCCCCTGGACAAAGCTTCCACGTAACTCTTGTCACTACAGCACCTGTTACAGATCACCCCAGACTGTAAAATTTAGACTACAATTTCCACGCCAACACCTGGTGCAGCCCAGCCAAAGTTCGCAATGTTACAATTGCCGCTCAAATCCTATGTCAAGCTTTAGCTCAACATCTAATGTATCTGCAACTGCACCTCCTTATCGTTTTTGCTATTATGGCTCATGGCAACTACAGATCCCATCCTTTCGTCGTTGTAATTGTATCCGGCTGCCGTTGACTTCCCTCCTTTCTCCTTCACCGCGCTCCTCCTAACACTCCGCTTCGGCTCAGTCTGGCCCATCGGCCGTCCGGGCGCGCGCACAAGGAGGGCAGGGGGAACGATTAAGAAATGGTTTCCTGACCTGGGACTCGTTTTGCGAATCATCATCACGGGCGCCGCCGCGTGAATACGGCCACGGAAATTTCTTGATAATGAGGAGGAGGAGGACGACGAGGAGGAGGACGAGGAGGAGGAGGAGGGAGAGGAAGGAGGAGGAGGAAGGAGGAGGAGGAGTAGGAGGAGGAGGAGGAGGACGAGGAGGAGGACGAGGCGGAGCAGGAAAAGGAGGAGGAGGCGGGAGGGGAAGGAAGAGGAGGAGGAGGAGGACGACGAGGAGGAGGAGTCGCCTCGCCGCGCCTCCCCCCCCCCTCTCCTCGCAGGGCGGGGGGGGGTGGGGGGCGACCTCGCACGCCGCGCCGCGGAGGACATGCAGCGCCCGCCAGGAGGAGTGGCCCCAGGAGGGACGGAGGCTGGCAGGGGCTGGAATTGACCCCCAGATGCCTCCTCCTCCTCCTCCTCCTTCCCCTCCCTCCTCCTCCTCCTCCTTTTCCTGCTCCTCCCTCCTCCTCCTCCTTTCCTGCTCCTCCCCTCCTCCTCCTCCTCCTCCTACTACTCCTCCTGCTCCTCCTCCTCCTCCCCTTCCTCCTCACCCTCCTCCTCCTCCTTCTCCTCCTCCTCCTTGTCCTGCTCCTCCTCCTCCTCCTCCTCCTGCTCCTCCTCCCCCTCCTCCTCCTTCTCCTCCTCCTGCTCCTACTCCTCCTCCAGATGGCTCGGCCCGCCCATCGCCCTCATGCCTGCAGTGCACCAGAGGCTTCCAAGATGGATTCCAGCGTCCACATGTGGGAATGCGTTTCTGACCCTGCAGCTTGGAGAAACCAAGCTGCAAGCGTGGAACAGGCTCTCGACCACGGGGCCTGTCGCAAAGAGCCTACATAATGCCATGGCTGCTCCGCACGCCCCGGTGTCCCATCAAGGGAAGAGAACACGAAGGAAGACTGATGGGGGACGTGGTTACTCCGACATCGCCCGTGATCGCTCGAGGCTGCTGAGCTGCAGACTTGGGCGGTACTAGGTGATACTCTGATCTTTCGCTGTTATTGACGATTGCGTACAGGTGCCCCCCGGAAGCGATGCCAACATCTGACAAGTGCCTGGGGAATCAGCAGATTTAGGTCGGGCGTGTCCTCCTACAGGCAGATCTTGGACGAAAAATAGAGAATAGTGAAACATACCCCCCAAAATAGTCCAAGATAGTCCGAAAATCGTCCCCTGACTATTTCTGAGTATCTTTGAATACTCCTCTTGTCGAGGGACATGCCCGACTTAACGGCAGATTGCAATGCTGCGGGACCGTCCTGTCCTCACTCCTCTCTCCCGGAGAAGCACGAAGACGCTGGCGCTGAAAGAGGGGGGAGCGGAGGAAGCAGGAGGAGGAAGCAGGAGGAGGAGGGGGAAATGATTTGGAGAGCCCAGTGTTCGCTAGAGGCTGGCTTCCCCCAAAACGACAGAACACCTTCCAAAACCCTCCGAAAAGCCTCCCCGAGCCCTTCCCCAAGGGATTTCGGAGGCTTTCGGGAGGGCCTCGGCTGTTTTTAAAGGAAACCAGTCCCTAGCGAACCCTGGACTTTCCAAGAAGAGATGCTTGGCTAGCTTTTTTCTGAGTCACACCGGGACTCCCTCCGTCCAATCTGAGACCACGGTCACGTGAGTCGGCGCCCGGCTCACAGCGGTGTCCTGGGGAACGCGGGCAGAGGGCAGATATGGATGGACATCGCTGCGGTGCACGAATAGATCATGATCGACCCACGAACACGGAAAGGACTATAGAAAAGTAAGGCATGGCAACGTTTCAAAGATACCTGATTAGGCGACGGGCACATGCAATGCTGAGTGCATCGATCTTGATGTACCGTGCCGAAGGCTGTGCTGCGCCGTGATGAATTGCGATGTGCCATGCCGCGATTGTGCTCTATAGCGTTGTGGATAGAGTCCTCCTTTGCGAGTCCTGACCGAATGTATCTGGATCTTATCTGGATCTTAAGCTCGAGCTGCCTGAGCACAGGGAAATTTAGCTGACCCAGAGCGACTTGACAGGGGGGCATGCCAGGAGGGCGCGCCGCGGAACGTCCCAAGGGACGCGCCATGGGGACGCACCGCGGGACGTGCCCAATGGGACGCGCTACGGACCGTGCCAATGGACGTGCCACGGGACGTGCCAGGGGACGCGCCGCGCGACGTGCCAAGGGGACTCGCCACGGGACGCGCCACGGAACGTGCCAGGGAACACGCCAGGTTGCAATGCTGAGTGTATCGATCTTGATGTCCCGTGCCGAGAGCTGTCCTGTGCTGCGCCGTGCTGAACTGCGATGTGCCATGCTCGGGACAACCATGTTAGATATCCCCCTGGGTGGCCTCGGACACGTAAAAACAAATTGCTCAAACTCGGGACAACCATGTTAGATGCCCCCTTGAATGGCCTGGACACGTAAAACCACGTGGTTCCATTTCGGGACACCCATGCTAGATATCCCCCTAACACATGGTTCAAGCTCGGGACAACCAGGTTAAATACTACCCTGCGTGGCCTGGATACGCTGAATTCGCGCTCCCGCTCGAGACATCCTCGCAATGCCTTCCCTGGAGAGGCCCCCAAAGTGCCCCCCCCTGTCCAGAGCAAGAAAGCATTACTTTTCTGTATTGGGAGATGTGTTCGGGTAGCGCTTTTCGGCCCCCCGTGCGTTTCCTGATAACTCGGCGCTGGGCCCGACGCCATGTTAGATACCCCCCTGGGCGGCCTGGACACGTAAAAATACATGATTCCAGTTCGGGGCAATCATGTTGGATACCCCACTGGGTGGCGTGGACACGTAAAAAACAAACGGTTCCAGCTCTGGGCAACCATGTTAGATACACCCCTGGGTGGCCTGGACACGTTAAAACACAAGGTCCTTGCTCGGGACAAGCATGTTAGATACCCCCCTGGGTGGCATGGACATGTAAAAACACGTGGTTCCAGCTCTGGGCAACCATGTTGGATACACCCCTGGACGTGGTCCTTGCTCGGGACAACCATGTTAGATACCCCCCTGGGTGGCCTGGACACCTAAAAACATGTGGTGCCAGCTCGGGACAACCATGTTAGATTAGATACACCCCTGAATGGCCTGGACACGTAAAAACGCATGGTCCTTGCTCGGCGCAATCATGTTAGATACCCACTGGGACAACAAGCGTTCCGCTCGAGACATCCTCAACACATTCTGCAAAAGGAGTGTTTCGCTAGAGACATCCGCAGCAAACGAAAATCTGTACTTTACCTCGTGCTTTATCAACCGAGCGTTTCGCTCGGGACATCCTCAGAATTCAATTCCGCAAGCCCACTCTTTCCTCGTTGTTCATAACAACACAAAGATCGCCGCCCCACCTCAAATCCGGGCCGGGGGGGACAAAACTAAAAGAGAACCCTGGGCCTACGCCCTTTCCGGGAAAAAGATCGCGGGCTTAACGGGTCGGCGGCGTGCTGAAATCTCGGGTAAGAGGTCCCGATATTTCCAGTTCGCGCGCGCAGGGCGGCCCGTGGGGCCCCCAAATGAAAACAGCCTGTCTAAAGTCCAGCCGGCTCGGTGCCAGGAATACCGGACTCCTCAAGGGCGACGAGGTCAGCCCAGACACGCTCGCGCCGTGCACGGAAAGTTTTCCACTGTTTTCCCCCACACGTCTGGGAATGCACTGGGGGTACGAAAAATGACATAAACATAAAAACTCGGAGGTCCGCGGATTTCTAGGAACCGCGCTGGACCCCCCTCCCTGGCGGGCGGAGCGCGCCAGGGGCGGCGCCGGAGGCGCTGCCAGGGGGTCCCAGCGCCGATCCGAGAAATCCGCGCGAACCTCAGAGTTTTTATGTTTCTGTCATGTTTCGTTTCCCTGTGCACGTCCACCGCCCCTGGCCAGGCCCCTCTGCGGGATCGGCGTATACAGTCACCGTGCTGCCATGGGGAGCTCTTGAGCGCGGTCTCAGTGCTTCCACGAGGACCCCAGGCGCGCCCCTGGGAGGCGCAGGCAGGGGGGAAGGCCCCACGGCTTCAGGCCAACGGCGCGCCAGAATGGCCAGACCTGGCCTCGAGACGGTCCCAGAGGCGCTCGAGACTGCCCCGGGGAGCTGCACGAGGACCCCAAAAGAGCTCCAAGAGGCAACACTCAGTGACCGTGCTCAGGTTTTTGGAGCAAACTTTGGCGTCACCGCCTTTTCGGGCCTCTGGCCGCCCGTGGCATCCAAGGACGCCGACACGATCGCCCCAAGCCCCACCAGAATGCTCCCAAGACAGCCCAGGCGGGCCCCAAGACGGCCCAAGGGACCTCTCAAGAGGGCTCTTAGGGCTCCCGAGAAGGCACACGAAGGGGGGGTCCCAACTCGCATGTTGATTCCTCCTCGAGAGATGGCCCTTGGGACCGCCAGCAGGCCCCAGGAGATTCCCAAAATTGTCTCCAAGAGGCCCCCCCGGGAGAGCTTTTTGATTCTGCAGGAGGCCCCCGACAGAGCCCCAGCCACCTCCCAACAAGCAATCATGTTCACAAACTGGTTTGATCCCGCGCCTGCCCCGAAGAGCCTCTGAGAGGCCTCCTCCTCCTCCTCCTCCTCCTCCTCCTCCTCCTCCTCCTCCTCCTATCCTCCTCCTCCTCCTCCTCCTCCTCCTCCTCCTGTTATTCCTCCTTCTCCTCTTCCTCCTCCTCCCTCCTCCTTCTCCTCTTCCTCCTCTCCCCGTCCTCCTCCTCCTCCCCCTCCTCCACTTCCTCCTTCGCGCTCGCCACGAGCACACCAAGTGCCGAACTGAACACCAGCGAGGGCGTCCGCAATCCCAGCGCCGATTGAACCTGTACACCGGACATGCCCCTCCTCCCTCTCTCCCCCTCATCCTTGCCACTCCTCCTCCTCCTCCTCTCCTCCTCATCCTCCTCCCGATCCTCCCCTCCTCCTCCTCCTCCTCCTCCTCCTCCTCCTCCTCCTCCTCCTCCTCCTCCTCCTCCCTCCTCCTCTCCTCCCGCCTCCTCCTCCTCCTCCTCCTCCTCCTCCTTCCTCTCCTCCTCCTCCTCCTCCTCCTCCTCCTCCTCCTCCTCCTCCTCCTCCTCCTCCTCCTGCTCCCTCCTCCTCCTCCTCCTCCTCCTCCTCCTCCTCCTCCTCCTCCTCCTCCGGCTCCTCCTCCTCCTCTCAATACTCCTCCTCCTCCTCCTCCTCCGCCTCCTGGTCCTGCTCCTGCTCCTGCTCCTCCTCCTCATCCTCCTGCATGGGGTCGGAGGATCTCGCCGCATCGCCGATGCATCGGATATGCACTGGCGACGTCGGCGATGCACCGGCGACGTCGGCGTGGAGAAGATTGCGCCCCACATCGAGCCGCACCACTGATGCATCGCCGATGCATCGGCGATGCGGCAAGCTCCTCCGACCCCATCTGCTCCGACGTTCGGGGCCGTCATCGGGTCACTTTGAGAGCCTCCTGGGCCATTCTGGGACCTCCTGGCACGCTGCTCTCTGTCGCCGGCGTGGCAGGGGCGGTCCGCTCTGGCGTGTGGCTGCTCGGGACCACCGACAGGCGAACTGTCCGGCGTGCAGGAGGGAAGACGCGAGACGAGGGCGGCCGCGCGGGGGGAAAAGGCGGAAGCGCGCGCAGACGCGGAAGAGTTTGGCGCAGAGCAGGCCGGCGCGGCCGGCCGAGGCAGCGGGGAACCTCTTGGCAAACACCCGCGCCCCTTTTTTGGTGTTGTGTTAAGTCGGGCCTGTCCCTCTACAGGGGGCATGTCCAAAAATAGTCAAACAAATAGTCTGGGGACTATGGTTTGAACATTTGTTGGCCAGTTGGGAATTTGTTTTGAGTATCTTATGTTTTTTCGTCAAAAATCCCCCTGTGGGGGGACACGCCCGACTTACGTGTTGTGGGAGCCCCTGGACCCGGACCCCACGAGGCGGCCCGCGGCCGCCCCGAGCATACCCCGGGGGGCACCCGCCCGCAGAGACTGCCGCCCCGCCCCGCCCCGCCCCCTCCCTCGGGGGAAGCCCAGCCCTGGTAGCCCCCAGGGATGGAGGCACGGATTCTCTCTTCTTCAAGGGCGCCTAAGTTCGCACTTCGCGCTGCGAGAAGCGCGAAGCGCGAATAACTTCGCGCCCTCGCGCCGCCTCCCAGGGGAGAAGAGGAGGATGAGGAGGAATCGGAGCCGAACCACGAAGCGCGAAGCGCGAATAACTTCGCGCCCTCGAGGGCGCCCTTGAGGCACCGATTCATTATCTTCTTCTTTTTCTTCTTCTTCTTCTTATTCTTATTTTTATTATTATTATTCTTTTTTCCTCTCGGCGCAGAGCGGGGTCCCGCTAGTCGTATCCGATCTTTGTGCCCACACCGCCCGCCCAAGCAACCGTCCTCACTCTAATCTTGGCAATGCGCCAGTATCACACAATCGTCTTAAAGCTGTTTCGCCCATCTTCTAATGCATGTGCTTCGGCTGTGAAGGAGGATTTGGTGATCATGGCTCCTTGTCTCTCCTTTTACATATCCTTCCCTCTCCTTCCGAGCCTTCTGAGAAAACCCCGCCCCTTCTCACTTCCACCCCCCAGGCTCGCCGCCAAGAGGTGCAGGGTCAGGAACGTCTTCCGCATACGCATGGTCGACCAACAGAGCTTGCAGTACGGGGCCCCAACAGGTACACCACCACCACCACCTCCCTCACCCCCTCCCTCTCCCAGGAAAGAGGAGAGGGAGAGGAGGGTAGAGGAGGGAGGAATCGACGTGGTGGTGGTGTATATTTCTGGGGCCCCATGCAGACTTCCGCATCAGTGTCCCCGTCGGGTACCGCGTGGAGCTCAGCGTCACCATCCATCGGCCTGGGCCAACGTCCCATGCCGCCACCGCTGGGGGACCTCTGGCCACGCCAGGCGCTTCAGTAGTGGTTGGGGTGCAACAGACCGTGTCTAATTCCCGCGGTTACTACGTTTCTCTCGTCTCAGTTCCGGCAGTGCCAGTGCTTCACCTTCGACCACCGCTTCAAGCAGATCGAGCCTACTCGGAGCAGGGGTCTCGGGATGTCCTCTGCGTTGGGACGGACGTGCAGAACAGTGACAATGCACCGTGCAAGCTGCAGAGGGAACGGTCCACGAGCGCGGGGGCGGCGCAGGACTTCCGGGAGCAAGTGGTCTCGAAGGCGGTGCCGCCTGCGGCGCCGCCTCCACCGGCTCCGCCACAGCCTCGGAGGGCCGCAGCACCGCCGCGTAGGGTCCAGGCAGCGCCGGGGGAGTGGATGGCTGGCGAGATGGGTGGCATCACGGGCCCTCCTATCCCGCTGGCGGCGTAAACTGCGGCCGGACCAAAGACAGAAGAACCTTCTTCATGAACATGAGACCCTCCGCTGGCCAAACTGAAGAACAGTCGAGGGTGCCCTCCCCAGGATGCATACGAGCATTCGACAAGCACGAAGAGCACTAGGGCACCCTCCCCGAACCGACCTCAATATCATACCTCGATCCGACGCCGAGGAGCCTTAGGATACCTCAGGATTTGCCCTCGCAAGAGGATCCGACTTCGGCTTTGCAGCGGGAGCTGGAGCATCTAGATCCAGATCCTGAAAGGCTGGCAGTACCAGATCAACTTGACGGAGCTACTAAATGCAAGCCAGGGGAACAGCCCAGGCGTGGAGGACGAGGTGGTGAACTTGGATCCTCAAGTCTATGAGTTGGAAAAGCGCGGTCACTTGAAACTGACGCTTGATTACATGAAGGGCCGCCTACTGTCTCCCGGCTCGCCCTTGGAAGCCGCTGGAGAAGCGCTTCTGCCACGCGTGGTGGCGGGCTGATGGCGTTCATCGGCGTGCGCAGTGGGCATTCGCACGTGACGGGAAGGTGACTTTCGCGCAGTGCATTGACGTCCTGGAGATTGCCGTGGATTTCAACACGAATGACCAAGTCACCTCTTTGGCATGATTGGTTGTCTCCGTTGTCATGCTCGCCTTCCTGGTGCAAATTTCCCAGGACAGGGCCTCCCTTACGACAATGTTTTCACATGTGTGACGAGAGTATTCGGATCATGTTCTGAGCTACCTGAGTATGTCTTCAGCGCCAGCCATTTTTGCGTGCAAACTTCGGTCTGTTCGCTAGTCCTTTTGCTGAGCCTAGCATGCAGAGCCCACAAAAACAAAATCCGGGCCCTCTCCGACCATGTAGGGATCCTGCGGCGCTCCTCCTCCTCCCCCTCCTCCTCCTCCTTCTCCTCCTCCTCCTCATATGCTCCTCCTGCTCCTCCTCCTCCTCCTCCTCCTCCTTCTCCTCCTCCTCCTGCTCCTTCTCCTCCTCCATTCCCCTACCTCCTCTTCTGCCTCCCTCCCCCGCCCCCTTGCTTCACCCCCATCTTCCCTCTATGAGGAGGAGGAGGAGGAGGAGGAGGAGGAGGAGGACGAGGAGGAGGAGAAGAACGAGGAGGACGAGGAGGAGAAGGAGGCGGAGGAGGAGGCTCCTTCTCTCCCTGTCGAAGCATGGCGAGTGGAGACAACTGCAGTCCACAAACTCGGCCCACGGACCCCTCCTCCGGGACCCGAGCGCTCCAATTCTCCAAGCCGCGTCCGGGCGCGGCGATGAGGGTACACCCCGCAGGCCAGCTACCGTTGCCTCAATTTGCCCTCCCCTGACGTCAGGGGGAGGAGGAGGAGGAGGGGAAGGAGAAGGAGGAGGAGGAGGATAAGGCAAATTTAGACAATGTAGCCCGCTACCGTTGCCTCAATTTGCCCTCCCCTGGCGCCAGGGGAGGCCAGCTGCTGGTGTCTGGATTATGCTGTCGTGAAGTAGGAAGGCGCTGGGAGGAGACTGGAGCTCCGCCCGCGCCCTGTAGACGAAGGATCAAGGAGGAACGCCACTCGAGCCCTGAAATGGGAGGGCGGGGCTATTTTTGTTTTGTTTCTCTCCTGGAGTCCTCTGGAGGCCTGACCGTTTCCACAACAAAGAACGGTGCTCGATTGGCCGGCCGGGTTAATGTCACCGCATTCTCGGCGAAGGCTGGCCGGGTTAATGTCACCGCATTCCCGTCCTACGTATAGATTGGGATCTGGGCATCCGGCAATGCCTATTTTCAGCGGCCTACGGGGGTAATTAACTGGTATTTCGGGGGCGCCCAAACATGGAAACATGGATTAGCGATCCCTTGGGTTTGGCGCGCGGTCGCCAAATCCCATGGATCGGGGGAAGCGCCCTCCCCCAAGTGCAACCAGTGCCGCCTCGCTCGGCGGCAGAACTCCGCGATTTCCCGTGGAAACGGGACCCGCCGCTCATCCACGCCCCCTTGATCCATGGCTGCGATCGCCCGAGAATGCATGGGTCACCGGCGCCCCTGGATGTGCATTGCTCCCCTCTGGGCTGACCTCGCCCCTGTCGTCGCCTCTGAGTGAGGCGGTCCTCCGTGGGCAGGGTGGACAGCACTTCCCGGCGGGCGCGCGTGTAGGTGGTCCCGAGCTGCGCCGCGAGGGGGGGGGGGGCGGGAGGAGAGGCGCAGGGCCCGCAGGGAGGGTCGAGAGGAACGGGGCACGGGAGCACACACAAATGCACAAACACACATCCCAGGAGTCCCTGTCTCTTGAGCAGGGACCGACCGTCCCGGCATTCCTATAGTCATACCCTGAAATTATCTCAGAACAAAAACAATTCTCTTAGAACATACAAAAACCACAACATACAACATTTGCTGTGGTTCTAAGAACTATTGTCTTAGAACCACCAAACATTCTAATAACAAAGACAATGTTCTTAGAACATAAGCCCGATATGTTAAAACAAGACAGTCCTGGTCAGACATGTTCTAAGAACAGTTCGTGGGAACCACAAAAGGATCTTAGAACATTGTTTGGTGGGGCTATAGGCGGGCCAGAACGCTTCGCCACTGCCTGAGTCTCTTCCCACATCTTCAGGGCCGTCGTATATCCCATGCAGATGCGCAGGCACAGATCCCAGGGCCCCCCACGTCTTCCAATGTTTCCTGGGCGCTTTCGTGTTCCCCCCCCTCCCCCCGCGCTTCCCGTAGTTTCCCTACAGTGGAGGCCAGTCCACAAGAAACCTTCCACAAGAAACCCAACCCTGAGACCCCAGGACGTCCATGGATCTTTGGCGTCGAGGAACGCCACGGCTTCCCTCTCAAAATCATCGACAACCAAGAAGCCTTGGGCACCCTGGAGGCAAGCAAGGCGTTTCTTGGCATGGGCCTCCACTGTATGTTTTCCTGCGTATCGACGATTCACTGTGTCTGTGTGGGTTGTTCCATCGGGGATCGTCTGACCCGAGTAAGTCCAGACCCGGGTCAGTCAGGCCTTGCAGAATCCTGCAAGACCCTGCAAGATCCTGCACCCAAGCCCGGGTCAACGCGAAGGATCCCGCAGGATCCTGCATGATCCTGCGCCCAAGCCTGGGGCCATGCGACCTTGCCCCTGCAGGACCCTGCAAGCTATGGCGCTCTGGCTGACCCCCCGTTTGCATTGGCCCCCGTCTCAAGGCTCCCGAAAGGGGGCCGTGGCGGCCGCGCCCGGCTCGGGCATCTCGGTGGCAACTCACGGAAGCCTCTCGTACCACCTCGTCGGCTCTTGCGATTCGACGCTGGATCGATGCTAAATCGACGCCACACCGACGCTAAAGCGGCGCTCTCTCATCGACTCTAGACGCCAGTGGATGCCTACTGGACGCGAAAGACAGAAGTAAGAGGACTCACAGGGTCCAGTATCAATGTTGATCTCAGTAAAGGCGGTGCTTTGGGGTTCGAATAGACTTCTGTCCACTCACGACCCCCCCGTCGCCACGCCATCCATATCAATTTCGGGGGGTCTGGGGGGCATCTTGGGCCACAAGGTTCGAATATGATGTCCATTTACGGTCCTATGGTCTGCTCCCATGGTCTGCTGCCAATTTGGACGCCCGAAATGGGTACGGAAAAATGGGCACAATGCCCAACAACACATTTTGCCCCAAACCGACAGCGGCCGTTGTTAGGCAGGCGGCCTTCTGTCTCGAATGGACACAGGCCGCGGCGGCGCGGACGACGAGTCCTGTTCAACACGAACAGGAACTGCTGTTTGACATTGTACCCATTCTTTCCGTGCCCATCTCGCTCGTGCAGAGTCAGGGCATCTTGGGCCACAGGGTTCGAACATAATGTCCATGCACGGGGAGGAGGAGGAGGAGGAGGAGGAGGAGGCGGAGGAGGAGGAGGAGGATAGGAGGAGGCGGAGGAGGAGGAGGAGGAGGAGGAGATGGGAGGAGGAGAAGGCGGAGGAGGGGGGGAGGATAGGAGGAGGAGCAGGGGAGGAGGGGAGGAGGAGGGAGGAGGGAGGAGGAGGAGGAGAGGAGGGAGAAGGAGGGAGAAGGAGGGAGGATGGAGGGGGAGGAGGAGAGGTCCCCATGGTCTGCTCCCGTGGTCCGCTGTCAAGGCTCCCCGAGTGCCCCTGCCCGCGGGGGGGGGGGGGGCGCCGGGGAGGGGGGGCGGGGGGGGGGGCGCGGCGCCCGGAGCGGCGCGGCGCAGGGGGCGGGTCGGGCCGCGGAGGAGGAGCCCGCGCCCGCGCGCGGCGGGGCGAGGGAGAGGGCAGGACGAGGCCAGGGCGAGGACACCACTCGGGCGAGGATCCAGCCTCTTCCTCCTCCTCCTCCTCCTCCTCCTTCCTCCTCACTCCCCTCCCCCTCCTCCCTCCTCCCTCCTCCTCCTCCTCCTCCTCCCCCCCTCCCCCTCCTGCTCGTCCTCTGTTTAGTCTTATGAGTCGCATCGTTATGTTTAGCATACAACTGTTTATTATCATTATGATTCGCATTATTATGGTTATTATGATTAGTATTCGTACTATTAATATTAGTACTATTACTAGTAGTAGCATTGTTCTTCTCATTACTATGATACTTCTGCTTCTGAATCTTCATCATATTCTTGTAAGGTGATGCTTATGTTTTTCTTCCGTGCGACGGATGAGGGGATGGACGGACGGACGAACGACCAGCTGGGTGCCCTAGAGCTCCGTGCAACTAGTCTTCGTCTTGATCCCTCCGTCCCCTCACTCTGTGCCCTCCGCGTAACGTTACACGCCCGACTCCTCTCGGTCTCGGCTATGCCCTGGGCCGTTCACATTTAGCTCCTCCGACGTCCACCCCACGCAGGATTGGTAGAGCAGGTGTTGACACGCCGCGGAACAACAGCGGGACATGACCAGCATCACTGACCATGGTGGTACTGCTCGCCCTTGGAGGGGGTACTTCAGAGGTATACTTCGGCTACTACAGAGAATTTGGATGCAGTGTATTAAAGCACAGGGATTATGTCGAACACTACATTGCATGGTTTGGCCATCGACCAGCACGCCCAGGAAGCGAAATGAGTCTAGAGACGGAGGGACTCTGTTCGAAGCGTGGGCCCAGCAGGACCTTAGTAGAACATTCATTATGCCCCCCAGCATGAGTTTGGCACGAACGGGGCATCCTGCATTCCCTCCTTCCTCCTCTCCTCCTGTCGTTGTGGAGTGGTCGTGTCGTCTTCCTCCCCCTGCTTGGGAGCTCTGCTCGCCCAGCGTTCCCCAAGGAGAGGGCACGCGAGAGGGCCAGCAGCTGCTCCCCCCGCACTGACCCGTAAGGACTCGCAACCGCAAGGTAGCGAGCCTCTCTTACGGGACCTCCTCGGAACTCGCTCCTTAGAGAATCGGGGTACGCCCCTTGCCGGCCCCATGAGAAGTCTGGGTCTGCGGCAAATTTTACTCGCAGGGAGGAGGAGGAGGAGGAGGAGGAGGAGGAGGAGGAGGAGGAGCCTCTTGCGAGAGCCACAACCATCTAATGGACTTCCGGCCCACTCCGCCACCGTGCCCGAGCTGTGGGTACTGATGCGGCTTGGGTGGATACCAGGGTCTGTTGGGATGCCCCTTGGGCGCCTCATGCAAGACTGTTGGGGGCCTCTTCGGCCCTCCGGGGACCTCTTCGGGGCCTGTTGGGGGCGCTGGGGTGAGCCTCTGATAGGCTATTCTGCCATTTGGAAGCGGAAAGCTCAACATGAAAATTTGGACTCCCCCTGAACGAATCATTTTGGATAACGCGTGCGGGTCAAAACGTGTTATAGGTGCTTGTTGTATACGGTTCTGGGGCGTGTCGTATGCGCGGTGAGCACGTGATGAATTCGTTGTGTGTGTACGTTGCGTCTACGTTTTACGTATACGTTTTGTATACGTGTGGGTTACGTGTTGCTCGCGTTCCGCTTGTTTGTATATCCGTGCCGTACACGGGCTGTGTACTGGATACGTTGCGTATACCTTTTGGATACGTATTGGATACGCTGTGTACGCGCTTGGTATACGTTGCGTATGAATGCCGTGATCGTGTCGCATGTTGAGCTTCATACGTGTTCGATGCGTCTCGCATGCGTTCCGTAGCGGTGCAAATGCGTCTTCCACTGTTATGCTGTATGGTTTGTATACGTGTCGGGGAAGTGTCGGGTCCATGTTGTGCGCGCTTCGTTGACGTTCTGGATACGTTTGGTGTGCGTCATGTAATTCCTGTGTACGTGCCGTAAACGATGTAATGCGTGCGACCTAAATTGCGTCTACGTCCCATGGACGTGTCGCAAACGTTGCGTGTACGATGTGTATCCGTTTTGCGTACACTCCGAACACGTTTCGTATACGATTCGTACGCGTATTGCCTACGATTCGCATATGCGTCTCGCATACGTGTCGAATGCTTCTTCGTAAACGTGCCGCACGCGCTCGTATGATTTAATGGATTTTGCGCAGACGCGCCGCATACGATTTGCGTCCGTGTCGCATACGTTCCGTAAATGGGTCGTTGCGTTTCACATACGCGTCACGCATATCATGTTCGGACCGCTAAGGTTACACTTCCATGTTCCATTCGTTGCGCACGCGTTTCATGACGTTCAATATCTAACAATGCAGTTTCTACTACCACTACTACGATTACTACTACTACTACTACTACTACTACTACTACTACTACTGTTACTACTATTACTACTGCTACTAGTAGTAGTAGCACTACTACAACTACGGCTACGACTACCAATCCTAGTAGTAGAAGCACTACTACCACTACTACAACTACTACTACTACTACTACTACTACTATTACTACTACTACTACTATTACTACTACTACTACTACTACTACGACTACGACTACTACTACTACTACTACTACTACTACTACTTCTACTACCAGTGCTACTACTATTACTACCGCTACGGCGACGGCTACTACTACTACTACTACTACTACTACGATTACTACTACGGCGACTTTCACTACGACTGCTACTCCTCCTACTATTACCACCACTAGTACTACTACTACTACTACTACTACCTCGACTACTACTACTACTACTACTACTACTACTACTACTAGTGCTACGACTACGACCACTACTACTACTACTACTACTACTACTACTACTGCTACTGTTACTGGTACTACTACTTCTACTA